ATATATATAGTTTTTTTTTTGTAATAATTGAATAAGTTTTTTTTTATCATGAAATCATTAGTTTAAGTATATTAAACTCGGTTTCTTTTAGTAGAAGTAATAATTCACACAAATTGATAAAGATAGAAAAAATAATTAAACTATTATAAAGTTAAAAAATGAACTCAAAATTTTAAATTTATTTCATGCGAATATTAATAGAGTCAGATTCGAATATATCATCTTTTGTTATGCAATAAAATAATGTTTTAAAATATTAGATTAAAATTTTTTAACTTGATTCATTTATTCTTTAACTTTAGATAATTAACAATGAGTGGTACTGGTGGGTTTGTTATTAAAAATGTTTAGACCAATTAACGTGATATATTGGCATTACATATTCACTCGATTATAGTTCTTTCTATGATAATAGTTACTAGAATTATTACTAGAAACGTTTGCATCAAACATACTGACGTATATTTTGCAATTATCATTTATGAAAATATTATTCTCAATATTTTAGCAAAACTAAGAAATAATTCACAAAGTTAAATTAAACTTAAACTGGAGTTCGAACCGAGTCAATTTCTATCTAATTAAGTAGATTTAACATATTTTCATTATGATACGTTTGCAATATGAGAACAAGCACATATCTTGAATAACTAAGGGTCTATGTAAAAGTTCTTGCTAATTTTTTTATATATCAAATTTGATTCTTATAAATAAAAAATATATATAATAACATTATCATTATTAATAAAATAATATGATATGATTGATAAGTAACTATTATCTCCTTAAAAAATGTTTATAACATTATTTTTTATATTCTTTTTCTAACACGTCGATCTTTTTACTAATATTACTAAAATTTATTAAAAATCATAATTTTTATAAGTTACATTTCATTTATTGAGTCTGCCTAATTACTTAGTAACAAATTTATTAATTTCAACCAATAGCAAAAGAGTGTTAAAAATAGTACCGTGACTAACATTTCTCATCTCTATAAAAAATGTGGTCAAGACTTCCTTTTATATATATATATATATATAAATCATTGAAAGACATTTTCTATTTAAAAACTAATCAACATTTGTATTTGACAGATTGATTCATGTATATATCTTAAAAAAAAGCAGTTTGCTAATTTTTTTAAGAAAAATTTAGGTTAAGATAAAATACAATTCCATGCAAAATAGAACCAATCTTTTATTATTTAATATTTATTGATATAACTTTTGTGTACAATAATTTTTTATCTATCTATAAAAATTATATAATTACAACATAATTTAAATATAAAACTTTATACATACATATATATTATTTTAACTTTATCAACCTAATAGTTAAATTGATAACATTGGCCATTTGATATACCTATAACTTTTCTAGAGCCTTTGCTTCTCAATACATATATTTTGTCTCTTTTTTTTCGTTTATTTTTATTTTTTGCGGCTGATTTTAATTTACACAAGTTTTTAAGGCACAATATTAAACACTAAATTTGAGTGTGTATCTCATCAAGTTCGAATTATATAGTTCAATTATTTATTTATTTTATATCATTATTTTATCTTACTTTTTTATTTAAAAAATATTCCTTTTCTTCATTATTTTCCATTAAACTTTTTAATAATTTCTTTTTGTTTCCTTTTCCCATTTTCTTGTTCTTCCATCTTCTATTTTTTTTGTCATCATGTTATTTTTTTTGAATTATATCAATCAATTTTATCAATAATTAATCTCTATTTAAAAATTTGATCTCTTTTTTAAATTATATTTCTTTTATATATAATACTTGAATCTAAGACTTTATTAAATGAATCTAAATTTTCTTTTTTATACAAACAACTTGTTCATTTTTCTCTCTTGTCTTTGCTGCATTTGTTGTCTCTTTTATTTTATTTTTGTCTGCTTTTGACAATTATGCATTTTAATTGAAAATTTCTTTTGAATAATGTTCTCAAAATTTTGTTCTTTATAGTCCTCGTACATGCATCTATGTCAACTATCTTAAATTTTCTGTCCAATTATTAAAACGTGGCCATTTGGTTGGTCAGATAGTGATGAGCACTCAAGCGGAAATTTCGGGACCTTAATTTCTATGAGAACGTTGAAACCTCTCTCTTCCACAGATACTTGTTGGTACGGATTTTTTTTTTGTCATATGTGAATGTTAATCATAATACAATATGGCATACAAGAATTTTAATTGTTTGAGCATGTTTTACAATTATTAGATTATTAACCAATTAATTTTTATTAAATAATCATAATTTAATATCTTAATTAATTTATTAGAGTCGACAATAGAAAGTTTAGGAAATAATTTGCATGAGATGTTCTCATTATATAATATTTTTTTAATAATTACTAATAATTTATAAATTTTTCTATAAAAAATTAATTTTCAATTAAAATTAACTTTTTAATTATCTACTTTAGTTATTTGTTTGATGTTAACTTTAATTAAATTATTAACTTTCAGTGATATTTTCTTCTATTTTTGTAGTTTTTTTTTACATCAATTTCTATTTTGTTAAATGACCACATATTATATAGGGTAAATTACATTATTCATACTTGAGAAATGAAAGTGTTACATTATCTTTCCTTTTTATGTTAAAATATATAATTTAATTCATTTAATTTAATATTGTTAATGAAAATTATACACCCCTCTTCAAAGAGATGCAAAATATTATATTATCCTTCTTTCAAATGTTAAAATTTAAAATAAATTATATTTTATTATTTTTAAAATGATAATATTATACTCATTTTTTTATTATATCAAAATATGTGATTTAAAGTATTTATAACTATTAAAGAACATTTATTATAAAAAAATTAATTTAAATATACTTTTTAATTAAAATATGTGTTAAAACACTTTTAAATTCGTTGGCATCGATTCACTTGATAAAAAATTATGAAATATATAATTAAA